GGGAAATGTGAAAAAGCCAAAGAAATGCAAGAGTCCTTTGTGATATTTGGCTGGATTTAGACACAAGGAAACTGGCTGTTTCAGGATTCATCCCACCCTTAAACAGACTGACTTTGGAATTCTGATTGAATTCACCTCAAAATTGCACTCACACTCAATTTGGAGGAAATTAGTATCTGTCCCCTCGGCAGAAGGAGTCCAAGTCATTTTCCAAAACACAGAAACTCATCTTGATTGTGTTGCCTGTACAGTTCTAAACATGAAAGGCCAATTTGCTTTGTTTTTTTTTTTCTTTCATAATGGCTACTCTGTCAAAATCTTGCCTGTATTGCATCAGAATACAAAATTTGGGAATAAGAAGGCAAAACTAACTCAGACCCAGAAAACATTTAGGATATTGCCACTCAAGAATCCACAAATCAGCTGAGGCACCCAAAACAATGACAGCAAGCCAGAATTGGAGCAGGCCAACAGCTGTGCCCTGATTGAAAAACAACCTTCCTCTGGTGCCCTGAACTGAATATGCCAGCTTAAAACCAAAGCTCACATCAGAAAACTCATTACAAACCATGATACAAAAGAAAAATGAGAAAAAAGCCAAAGAAATGCTAGAATCCATAATGATACTGGGCTTGATTTAGTCAAAAGGAAACCGGCTATTCCCAGATTCATCCACCCCTCCAGCTGACTGCCTGTGGAATTCTGACGGAATTATCCGGAAAATCGCAGGGAAACTCAGTTTGGAGGCAATTAATATCTGTCACCTCAGCCAAAGTGTCCCATTTTATTTTCCAAAACACAAAAACTCACCTTGGTCGTATTACCTGTGGATTTCTAAGCTTCAAACGCCTATTTATTGTGTTTTTTTTTATGGCAAAATGGCAAGTCTGTCCAAACTCTTTTTTGTATTGGGTCAGAATACAAAATTTTGGAAGGAAGAAGGAAAACCAACTCAGACGAACAAAACATTTAGGAAATTGATGCTCAAGAAACCTCAAATCGGCGGAGGCAACCAAAACAATGACAGTAAGCCAGAATTGGAGTAACCCAGCAGCTGTGCCCTGATTGAATAAGAACCTTCCTCTTGTGCCCTGAACTCCATATTGCAGCCTCAAAACCAAAGCTCACATCAGAAAATTCATTACAAAGCATGCTATATCAGAAAAAGGAGAAAAAAGCCAAAGAAATGTAAGAATCGAGAATGATATTGGGCTTGATTTAGTCGCAAGGAAACCGGCTGTTCCCAGATTCATCCACACCTCCAGCTGACTGCCTGTGGATCTGACTGAATTCACCTGAAAATCACAGTGAAACTCAGTTTGGAGGCAATTAATATCTGTCACCTCAGCCAAAGTGTTCCATTTTATTTTCCAAAACACAAAAACTCACCTTGCTCGTGTTACCTATGGATTTATAAGCTTCAAAACCTATTTGTTGTGATTTTATTGCATAATGGCTACTCTGCCGAAACTCTTGTTTGTATGGCGTCAGAATACAACATTTGGGAAGGAAGAAGGCAAAACCAACTCAGACCCTGAAAACATGTAGTAAATTGTCGCTCAAAAGACCAATAATCGGCTGAGGCACTCAAAACAATGACAGCAAGGCAGAATAGGAGCAAGTCAACAGCTGTGCACTTTTTGAAAAATAACCTTCCTCCGGTGCCCTGAACTCCATATTGCAGCCTCAAAACCAAAGCTCACATCAGAAAATTCATTACAAACCATGATAAATAAGAAAAATGAGACAAAAGCCAAAGAAATGCAAGAATCCATAATGATATTGGGCTTGATTGAGTTGCAAGGAAACCGGCTGTTCCCGGATTCATCAACCCCTCCAGCTGATGCCTGTGGAATTATGACTGAATTAACCGGAAAATCGCAGTGAACCTCAGTTTGGAGGCAATTAATATCTGTCACCTCAGCCAAAGTGTTCCATTTGATTTTTCAAAACACTAAAACTCACCTTGGTCGTGAACCTGTAGATTTCTAAGCTTCAAACGCCTATTTGTTGTGTTTTTTATTTCATAATCGCTACTCTGTCTGAACTCATGTTTGTATTGCGTCACAATACAAAATTTGGGAAGGAAGAAGGTAAAAACCTCTCAGACCCAGAAAACATTTAGGAAATTGCCGCTCAAGAAACCAAAAGTCAGCTGAGGAACCCACAAAAATGACAGCAAGGCAGACTTGGAGCAAATCAACAGCTGTGCCCTTTTTGAAAAATAACCTTCCTCTTGTGCCCTGAACTCCATATTGCAACCTCAAAACCAAAGCTCACATCAGAAAATTCATTACAAACCATGATAAATAAGAAAAATGAGACAAAAGCCAAAGAAATGCTAGAATCCATAATGATACTGGGCTTGATTTAGTCGCAAGGAAATTGGCTGTGCCCGGATTCATCCACCCCTCCAGCTGACTGCCTGTGGAATTATGACTGAATTAACCTGAAAATCGCAGTGAACCTCAGTTTGGAGGCAATTAATATCTGTCACCTCAGCCAAAGTGTTCCATTTTATTTTCCAAAATCAAAAACTCACCTTGGTCTCGTTACGAGTAGACTTATAAGCTTCAAACGCCTATTTGTTGTGTTTTTTATTTCATAATGACTACTCTGTCCAAACTCTTGTTTGTATTCCATCAGAATACAATATTTGGGAAGGAAGAAGGCAAAAACCTCTCAGACACAGAAAACATTTAGGACATTGCCGCTCAAGATACCAAAAGTCAGCTGAGGCTCCCAAAACAATGACAGCAAGCCAGAATTGGAGCAAGCCAACAGCTGTACCCTGTTTGAAAAAGACCATTCCTCAGGTGCCCTGAACTCAATATTGCAACCTCAAAACCAAAGCTCACATCAGAAAATTCATTACAAACCATGATAAATAAGAAAAAGGAGAAAAAAGCCAAAGAAATGCAAGAATCAAGAATGATATTGGGCTTGATTTAGTCGCAAGGAAACTGGCTGTTCCCGGATTCATCCACACCTCCAGCTGACTGCCTGTGGACTTCTGACTGAATTCACCTGAAAATCGCAGTGAAATTCAGTTTGGAGGCTATTAATATCTGTGACCTCAACAAAGTGTTCCATTTTATTTTCCAAAACACAAAAACTCACCTTGGTCGTGTTACCTGTATTTTTCTAAGCTTCAAACGCCTTTTTGTTGTGTTTTTTATTTCATAATGGCTACTCCGCCCAAACTCTTGTTTGTATTGCGTCAGAATACAACAGTTGGGAAGGAAGAAGGCAAAACCAACTCAGACCCAGAAAACCTTTAGGAAATTGCCGCTCAAGAAACCACAAATCGGCTGAGGCACTCAAAACAATGACAGCAAGCCAGAATTGGAGCAGCACAACAGCTGTGCCCTGTTTGAAAAAGACCATACCTCTGGTGCCCTGAACGCCATATTACAGCCTCAAAACCAAAGCTGACATCAGAAAATTCATTACAAACCATGATAAATAAGAAAAATGAGAAAAAAGCCAAAGAAACGCAAGAATCCATAATGACATTGGGCTTGATTCAGTCGCAAGGAAATGGGCTGTTCCCGGATTCATCCACCCCTCCAGCTGACTGCCTGTGGAATTCTGACTGAATTAACCTGAAAATCGCAGTGAAACTCAGTTTGGAGGCAATTAATATCTGTAACCTCAGCCAAAGTGTTCCATTTCATTTTCCAAAACACAAAAACTCACCTTGGTCGTGTTACCTGTAGATTTCTAAGCTTCTAACACCTATTTGTTGTGTTTTTTATTTCATAATGGCTGCTCTGTCCAAACTCTTGTTTGTAATGCGACAGAATACAAAATTTTGGAAGGAAGAAGGCAAAACCAACTCAGACCCAGAAAACATTTAGGAAATTGCCATTCAACAAACCAAAATTGAGCTGAGGCATGCAAAACAATGACAGCAAGCCAGAATTGGAGCAAGCCAAGAGCTGTGCCCTGTTTAAAAAAAAAAACCTTCCTCTTGTACCCTAAACTCCATATTGCAGCCTCAAAAGCAAATCTCACATCAGAAAATTCATTACAAAGCAGGATAAATCAAAAAATGAGAAAAATGCCAAAGAAATACAGGAGTCCTTTCTGATATTGGGCTGGATTTAGTCGCAAGGAAACCGGCTGCTCCCAGATTCATCCACCCCTCCTGCTGACTGCCTGTGGAATTCTCACTGAATTAACCTGAAAATCGCAGTCAAACTCAGTTTGGAGGCCATTAATATCTGTGACCTCAACAAAGTGTTCCATTTGATTTTCCAAAACACAAATACTCACCTTGGTCGTGTTTCGAGTAGACTTATAAGCTTCAAACGCCTATTTATTGTGTTTTTTATTTCATAATGACTGCTCTGTCCAAACTCTTGTTTGTATTCCATCAGAATACAAAATTTGGGAAGGAAGAAGGCAAAACCAACTAAGACCCTGAAAACATTTAGGACATTGTGGCTCAAGAAACCACAAATCGGCTGAGGCACCCAAAACAATGACAGCAAGCCAGAATTGGAGCAAGCCAACATCTGTACCCTGTTTGAAAAAGACCATTCCTCCGGTGCCCTGAACGCCATATTGCAGCCTCAAAACCAAAGCTCACATCAGAAAATTTATTACAAACCATGATAAATAAGAAAAAGGAGAAAAAAGCCAAAGAAATGCAAGAATCCATAATGATATTGGGCTTGATTTAGTCGCAAGGAAACCAGCTGTTCCCGGATTCATCCACCCCTCCAGCTGACTGCCTGTGGAATTATGACTGAATTAACCTGAAAATCGCAGGGAAACTCAGTTTGGAGGCAATTAATATCTGTCACCTCAGCCAAAGTGTTCCATTTGATTTTCCAAAACACAAAACTTCACCTTGGTCGTGTTACCTGTAGATTTCTAAGCTTCAAACGCCTTTTTGTTGTGTTTTTTATTTCCTAATTGCTACTCTGCTGAAACTCTTGTTTGTTTTGCGTCAGAATACAAATTTGGGAAGGAAGAAGGCAAAACCAACTCAGACCCAGAAAACATTTAGGAAATTGCCGCTCAAGAAACCACAAATCGGCTGAGGCACTCAAAACAATGACAGCAAGCCAGAATTGGAGCAGCACAACAGCTGTGCCCTGTTTGAAAAAGACCATACCTCTGGTGCCCTGAACTCCATATTGCAGACTCAAAACCAAAGCTGACATCAGAAAATTCATTACAAACCATGATAAATAAGAAAAATGAGAAAAAAGCCAAAGAAATGCAAGAATCCATAATGACATTGGGCTTGATTCAGTCGCAAGGAAACGGGCTGTTCCCGGATTCATCCACCCCTCCAGCTGACTGCCTGTGGAATTCTGACTGAATTAACCTGAAAATCGCAGTGAAACTCAGTTTGGAGGCAATTAATATCTGTCACCTCAGCCAAAGTGTTCCATTTGATTTTCCAAAACACAAAAACTCACCTTGGTTGTGTTACCTGTAGATTTCTAAGCTTCAAACGCCTATTTGTTGTGTTTTTTATTTCATAATGGCTACTCTGCCCAAACTTTTGTTTCTATTGCGTCAGATTACAAAATTTGGGAAGGAAGAAGGCAAAACCAACTCAGACCCAGAAAACATTTAGGAAATTGCCGCTCAAGAAACAAAGGGCCGCTGAGGAAGCCAAAACCTTGAAAGCAAGAAAGAATTGGAGCAAGCCAACAGCTGTGCCCTGATTGAAAAACACCATTCCTCCGGTGTCCTGAACTCGATATTGCAACCTCAAAACCAAACCTCAGATCAGAAAATTCATTACAAACCATGATAAATAAGAAAAATCAGAAAAAATCCAAAGAAATGCAGGAGTTCTTAGTGATATTGGGCTTGATTTATTCCCTTGTTAATGGCTGTTTCCAGATTCTTCTATACCTCCCAGCTGAGTGTCTGTGGTTTCTGCTGAATTAAAATGAAATTCGCTGTGAAACTCGGTTTGGAGGCAATTAATATCTGTCACCTCAGCAAAAGTGTTCCATGTCTTTTTCCAAAACACAAAATCTCACCTTGGTCGTGTTACCTGTAGCTTTCAAAAGCCTATTTGATGTGTTTTTTATTTCATAATGTCTATTCTGTCCAAACTCTTGTTTGTATTGCGTCACAATACAAAATTTGGGAAGTAAGAGGACAAAACCATCTGAGACTCAGAAAACGTTTAGGAAATTGCCACTCAAGAAACCTCAAATCGGCGGAGGCACCCAAAACAATGACAGCAAGCCAGAATTGGAGCAAGCCAGCAGCTATGCCCTGATTGAAAAAGACCATACCTCCGGTGCCCTGATCTCCATATTGCAGCCTCAAAACCAAAGCTCACATCAGAAAATTCATTACAAACCTTCATACATAAGAAAAATGAGAAAATACCCAAAAATGCAAGAATCCAGAATGATATTGGGCTGGATTTGTTCGCAAGGAAACCGGCTGTTCCCGGATTCATCCACCCCTCCAGCTGACTGCCTGTGGAATTCTGACTGAATTAACCTGAAAATCGCAGTGAAACTCAGTTTGGAAGCAATTAATAACTGTCACCTCAGCTAAAGTGTTCCACTTTTTTTCTAAAACACAAAAACTCACCTCGGTCGTGTTACCTGTAGATTTCTAAGCTTCAAACGCCTATTTGTTGTTTTTTTTGATTCATAATGGCTACTCTGCCCAAACTCTTGTTTGTATTTGGGCAGAATACAAATATTGGGAAGGAAGAAAGCAAAACCAACTCAGACCCAGAAAACATTTAGGAAATTGGCGCTCAAGCAACAAAGGGCCGCTGAGGAAGCCAAAACCTTGAAAGCAAGACAGAATTGGAGCAAGCCAACAGCTGTGCCCTGATTGAAAAAGACCATTCCTCCGGTGTCCTGAACTCGATATTGCAACCTCAAAACCAAACCTCAGATCAGAAAATTCATTACAAACCATGATAAAAAAGAAAAATCAGAAAAAATCCAAAGAAATGCAGGAGTTCTTAGTGATATTGGGCTTGATTTATTCCCTTGTTAATGGCTGTTTCCAGATTCTTCTACACCTCCCAGCTGAGTGTCTGTGGTTTCTGACTGAATTAAAATGAAATTCGCTGTGAAACTCGGTTTGGAGGCAATTAATATCTGTCACCTCAGCAAAAGTGTTCCATGTCTTTTTCCAAAACACAAAATCTCACCTTGGTCGTGTTACCTGTAGCTTTCAAAAGCCTATTTGATGTGTTTTTTATTTCATAATGTCTACTCTGTCCAAAGTCTTGTTTGTATGCCTCAGAAAAGAAAATTTGGGAAGGAAGACGGCAAAACCAACTCAGACCCAGAAAACATTTAGGAAATTGCCACTCAAGAAACCGAAAGTCAGCTGAGGCACCCAAATAAATGGCAGCAAGCCAGAATTGGAGCAGGCCAACAGCTGTGACCTGTTTGAGAAAGACCATTCCTCCGGTGCCCTGAACTCCATATTGCAGCCTCAAAACCAAAGATCACATCAGAAAATTCATTACAAACCATGATAAATAAGAAAAATGAGAAAAAAGCCAAAGAAATGCAAGAATCCATAATGATATTGTGCTGGATTTAGTCGCAAGGAAACGGGCTGTGCCCGGATTCATCCACCCCTCCAGCTGACAGCTTGTGGAATTCTGACTGAATTAACCTGAAAATCGCAGTGAAACTCAATTTGGAGGCAATTAATATCTGTCACCTCAGCCAAAGTGTTCCATTTGATTTTCCAAAACACAAAAACTCACCTTGGTTGTGTTACCTGTAGATTTCTAAGCTTCAAACGCCTATTTGTTGTGTTTTTTATTTCATAATGGCTACTCTGCCCAAACTTTTGTTTCTATTGCGTCAGATTACAAAATTTGGGAAGGAAGAAGGCAAAATCAACTCAGACCCAGAAAACATTTAGGAAATTGCCTCTCAAGAAACAAAGGGCCGCTGAGGAAGCCAAAACCTTGAAAGCAAGACAGAATTGGAGCAAGCCAACAGCTGTGCCCTGATTGAAAAAGACCATTCCTCCGGTGTCCTGAACTCGATATTGCAACCTCAAAACCAAACCTCAGATCAGAAAATTCATTACAAACCATGATAAATAAGAAAAATCAGAAAAAATCCAAAGAAATGCAGGAGTTCTTAGTGATATTGGGCTTGATTTATTCCCTTGTTAATGGCTGTTTCCAGATTCTTCTATACCTCCCAGCTGAGTGTCTGTGGTTTCTGACTGAATTAAAATGAAATTCGCTGTGAAACTCGGTTTGGAGGCAATTAATATCTGTCACCTCAGCAAAAGTGTTCCATATCTTTTTCCAAAACACAAAATCTCACCTTGGTCGTGTTACCTGTAGCTTTCAAAAGCCTATTTGATGTGTTTTTTATTTCATAATGTCTATTCTGTCCAAAATCTTGCTTTTATTACGTCAGAATACAAAATTTGGGAAGGAAGAGGACAAAAACAACTGAGACTCAGAAAACGTTTAGGAAATTGCCACTCAAGAAACCTCAAATCGGCGGAGGCACCCAAAACAATGACAGCAAGCCAGAATTGGAGCAAGCCAGCAGCTGTGCCCTGATTGAAAAAGACCATTCCTCCGGTGCCCTGAACTCCATATTGCAGCCTCAAAACCAAAGCTCACATCAGAAAATTCATTACAAACCATGATAAATAAGAAAAAGAGAAAAAAGCCAAAGAAATGCAAGAATCCATAATGATATTGGGCTTCATTTAGTTGCAAGGAAACCGGCTATTCCCGGATTCATCCACCCATCCAGCTGACTGCCTGTGGAATTCTGACTGAATTAACCTGAACGGAGGCAGTTAATATCTGTCACCACAGCCAACTTGTTCCATTTGATTTTCCAAAACACAAAATCTCACCTTGGTCGTGTTACCTGTAGCTTCAAAAGCCTATTTGTTGTGTTTTTTATTTCCTAATGGCTACTCTGTCCAAACTCTTGTTTGTATTGTGTCAGAATACAAAATTTGGGAAGGAAGAAGGAAAACCAACTCAGACCAAGAAAACATTTAGGATATTGATGCTCAAGAAACTTCAAATCGGCGGAGGCACCCAAAACAATGACAGCAAGCCAGAATTGGAGCAAGCCAACAGCTGTGACCTGATTGAATAAGAACCTTCCTCTTGTGCCCTGAACTCCATATGCCAGCCTCAAAACCAAAGCTCACATCAGAAAATTCATTACAAACCACTAAAATTAAGAAAAATGAGAAAAAGGCCAAAGAAATTCAAGAATTCATAATGATATTGGGCTTGATTTAGTCGCAAGGAAACCGTATATTCCCAGATTCATCCACCTCTCCAGCTGATGCCTGAGGAATATTGACTGAATTAACCTGAACGGAGGCAGTTAATATCTGTCACCTCAGCCAAAGTGTTCCATTTCATTTTCCAAAACAAAATCTCACCTTGGTCGTGTTACCTGTAGCTTTCAAAAGCCTATTTGATGTGTTTTTTTATTTCATAATGGCTATTCTGTCCAAACTCTTGTTTCTGTTGCGTCAGAATACAAAATTTGGGAAGGAAGAGGACAAAACCAACTGAGACTCAGAAAACGTTTAGGAAATTGCCACTCAAGAAACCTCAAATCGGCGGAGGCACCCAAAACAATGACAGCAAGCCAGAATTGGAGCAGGCCAACAGCTGTGCCCTGATTGAAAAAGACCATTCCTCCGGTGCCCTGAACTCCATACTGCAGCCTCAAAACCAAAGCTCACATCAGAAAATTCATTACAAACCATGATAAATAAGAAAAATGAGAAAATAGATAAAGAAATGCAAGAATCAAGAATGATATTGGGCTGGATTTAGTTGCAAGGAAACCGGCTGTTCCCGGATTCATCCACCCATCCAGCTGACTGCCTGTGGAATTCTGACTGAATTAACCTGAACGGAGGCAGTTAATATCTGTCACCACAGCCAAAGTGTTCCATTTTATTTTCCAAAACACAAAATCTCACCTTGGTCGTGTTACCTGTATCTTCAAAAGCCTATTTGTTGTGTTTTTTATTTCCTAATGGCTACTCTGTCCAAACTCTTGTTTGTATTGTGTCAGAATACAAAATTTGGGAAGGAAGAAGGAAAACCAACTCAGACCCAGAAAACATTTAGGAAATTGCCACTCAAGAAACCACAAATCGGCTGAGGCACCCAAAACAATGACAGCAAGCCAGAATTGGAGCAAGCCAACAGCTGTGCCCTGATTGAAAAAGAACCTTCCTCTTGTGCCCTGAACTCAATATGCCAGCCTCAAAACCAAAGCTCACATCAGAAAATTCATTACAAACCATGATAAATAAGAAAAATGAGAAAAAAAGTCAAAGAAATGCAAGAATCCAGAATGATATTGGCCTTGATACTGTCGCAAGGAAACCGGCTGTTCCCAGATTCATCCACCCCTCCAGCTGACAGCCTGTGGAATTCTGACTGAATTAACCTGAACGAAGGCAGTTAATATCTGTCACCACAGCCTAAGTGTTCCATTTTATTTTTTCAAAACACAAAATCTCACCTTGGTCGTGCTACCTGTAGCTTAAAACACCTATTTGATGTGTTTTTTATTTCATAATGGCTACTCTGTCCAAACTCTTGTTTGTATTGCGTCAGAATACAAAATTTGGGAAGGAAGAAGGCAAAACCAACTCAGACCCAGAAAACGTTTAGGAAATTCCCATTCAAAAATCCAAATTCAGCTGAGGCACCCAAAACAATGACAGCAAGCCAGAATTGGAGCAGGCCAACAGCTGTACCCTGTTTGGAAAAGACCATTCCCCCGGTGGCCTGAACTCCATATTGCAGCCTCAAAACCAAAGCTCACATCAGAAAATTCATTACAAATCATGATAAATAACAAAAATGGGAAAAAAGGCAAAGAAATGCAAGAATCCAGAATGATATTGGGCTTAATTCAGTTGCAAGGAAACTGGCTGTTCCCGGATTCATCCACCCCTCCATCTGACTGCCTGTGGAATTCTGACTGAATTAACCTGAAAATCGCATTGAAACTCTGTTTGGAGGCAATTAATATCTGTCACCTCAGCCAAAGTGTTCCATTTTATTTTCCAAAACACAAAAGCTCACCTTGGTCGTGTTACCTGTAGATTTCTAAGCTACAAATGCCTATTTGTTGTGTTTTTCATTACAAAATGGCTACTCTGTCCAAACTCTTGTTTCTACTGCGGCAGAATACAACATTTGGGAAGGAAGAAGGCAAAACCAACACAGACCCAGAAAACTTTCAGGAAAATGCCACACAAGAAACCAAATTTGGAGGGAATTAGAATCTGTCCCCTCAGCAAAAGGGTTCCATGTCATTTTCCAAAACACAGAAACACATCTTGTTCATATTGCCTACATTTCTCATTCTGAAAGGGCAATTTGATGTGTTTTTTTTTTCTTTCATAATGGCTACTCTGTCCAAAATCTTGCTTGTATTGCATCAGAATACAAAATTTGGGAATAAGAAGGCAAAACCGACTCAGACCCAGAAAACATTTAGGAAATTGGCACTCAAGAAACCACAAATCTCCTGAGGCACCCAAACAATGACAGCAAGCCAGAATTGGAGCAGGCCAACAGCTGTGACCTGATTGAAAAAGAACCTTCCACTTGTGCCCTGAACTCAAAATGCCAGCCTCAAAACCAAAGCTCACACCAGAAAATTCATTACAAACCATGATAAATAAGAAAGATGAGAAAAAAGCCAAAGAAATGCAAGAATCCATAATGATATTGGGCTTGATTTAGTCGCAAGGAAATCGGCTGTTCCCAGATTCATCCACAGCTCCAGCTGACTGCCTGTGGAATTCCGACTGAATTTATCAGAAAATCGCAGTGAAACTCAGTTTGGAGGCAATTAATATCTGTCACCTCAGCAAAAGTGTTCCATGTCTTTTTCCAAAACACAAAATCTCACCTTGGTCGTGTTACCTGTAGCTTTCAAAAGCCTATTTGATGTGTTTTTTATTTCATAATGTCTACTCTGTCCAAAGTCTTGTTTGTATGCCTCAGAAAAGAAAATTTGGGAAGGAAGACGGCAAAACCAACTCAGACCCAGAAAACATTTAGGAAATTGCCACTCAAGAAACCGAAAGTCAGCTGAGGCACCCAAATAAATGGCAGCAAGCCAGAATTGGAGCAGGCCAACAGCTGTGACCTGTTTGAGAAAGACCATTCCTCCGGTGCCCTGAAATCCATATTGCAGACTCAAAACCAAAGATCACATCAGAAAATTCATTACAAACCATGATAAATAAGAAAAATGAGAAAAAAGCCAAAGAAATGCAAGAATCCATAATGATATTGTGCTGGATTTAGTCGCAAGGAAACGGGCTGTGCCCGGATTCATCCACCCCTCCAGCTGAAAGCTTGTGGAATTCTGACTGAATTATCCTGAAAATCGCAGTGAACCTCAATTTGGAGGCAATTAATATCTGTCACCTCAGCCAAAGTGTTCCATTTGATTTTCCAAAACACAAAAACTCACCTTGGTTGTGTTACCTGTAGATTTCTAAGCTTCAAACGCCTATTTGTTGTGTTTTTTATTTCATAATGGCTACTCTGCCCAAACTTTTGTTTCTATTGCGTCAGATTACAAAATTTGGGAAGGAAGAAGGCAAAACCAACTCAGACCCAGAAAACATTTAGGAAATTGCCGCTCAAGAAACAAAGGGCCGCTGAGGAAGCCAAAACCTTGAAAGCAAGACAGAATTGGAGCAAGCCAGCAGCTGTGCCCTGATTGAAAAAGACCATTCCTCCGGTGTCCTGAACTCGATATTGCAACCTCAAAACCAAACCTCAGATCAGAAAATTCATTACAAACCATGATAAATAAGAAAAATCAGAAAAAATCCAAAGAAATGCAGGAGTTCTTAGTGATATTGGGCTTGATTTATTCCCTTGTTAATGGCTGTTTCCAGATTCTTCTATACCTCCCAGCTGAGTGTCTGTGGTTTCTGACTGAATTAAAATGAAATTCGCTGTGAAACTCGGTTTGGAGGCAATTAATATCTATCACCTCAGCAAAAGTGTTCCATATCTTTTTCCAAAACACAAAATCTCACCTTGGTCGTGTTACCTGTAGCTTTCAAAAGCCTATTTGATGTGTTTTTTATTTCATAATGTCTATTCTGTCCAAAATCTTGCTTGTATTACGTCAGAATACAAAATTTGGGAAGGAAGAGGACAAAAACAACTGAGACTCAGAAAACGTTTAGGAAATTGCCACTCAAGAAACCTCAAATCGGCGGAGGCACCCAAAACAATGACAGCAAGCCAGAATTGGAGCAAGCCAGCAGCTGTGCCCTGATTGAAAAAGACCATTCCTCCGGTGCCCTGAACTCCATATTGCAGCCTCAAAACCAAAGCTCACATCAGAAAATTCATTACAAACCATGATAAATAAGAAAAAAGAGAAAAAAGCCAAAGAAATGCAAGAATCCATAATGATATTGGGCTTCATTTAGTTGCAAGGAAACCGGCTATTCCCGGATTCATCCACCCCTCCAGCTGACTGCCTGTGGAATTCTGACTGAATTAACCTGAACGGAGGCAGTTAATATCTGTCACCACAGCCAACTTGTTCCATTTGATTTTCCAAAACACAAAATCTCACCTTGGTCGTGTTACCTGTAGCTTCAAAAGCCTATTTGTTGTGTTTTTTATTTCCTAATGGCTACTCTGTCCAAACTCTTGTTTGTATTGTGTCAGAATACAAAATTTGGGAAGGAAGAAGGAAAACCAACTCAGACCAAGAAAACATTTAGGATATTGATGCTCAAGAAACTTCAAATCGGCGGAGGCACCCAAAACAATGACAGCAAGCCAGAATTGGAGCAAGCCAACAGCTGTGACCTGATTGAATAAGAACCTTCCTCTTGTGCCCTGAACTCAATATGCCAGCCTCAAAACCAAAGCTCACATCAGAAAATTCATTACAAACCACTAAAATTAAGAAAAATGAGAAAAAGGCCAAAGAAATTCAAGAATTCATAATGATATTGGGCTTGATTTAGTCGCAAGGAAACCGTATATTCCCAGATTCATCCACCTCTCCAGCTGATGCCTGAGGAATATTGACTGAATTAACCTGAACGGAGGCAGTTAATATCTGTCACCTCAGCCAAAGTGTTCCATTTCATTTTCCAAAACAAAATCTCACCTTGGTCGTGTTACCTGTAGCTTTCAAAAGCCTATTTGATGTGTTTTTTTATTTCATAATGGCTATTCTGTCCAAACTCTTGTTTCTGTTGCGTCAGAATACAAAATTTGGGAAGGAAGAGGATAAAACCAACTGAGACTCAGAAAACGTTTAGGAAATTGCCACTCAAGAAACCTCAAATCGGCGGAGGCACCCAAAACAATGACAGCAAGCCAGAATTGGAGCAGGCCAACAGCTGTGCCCTGATTGAAAAAGACCATTCCTCCGGTGCCCTGAACTCCATACTGCAGCCTCAAAACCAAAGCTCACATCAGAAAATTCATTACAAACCATGATAAATAAGAAAAATGAGAAAATAGACAAAGAAATGCAAGAATCAAGAATGATATTGGGCTGGATTTAGTTGCAAGGAAACCGGCTGTTCCCGGATTCATCCACCCATCCAGCTGACTGCCTGTGGAATTCTGACTGAATTAACCTGAACGGAGGCAGTTAATATCTGTCACCACAGCCAACGTGTTCCATTTTATTTTCCAAAACACAAAATCTCACCTTGGTCGTGTTACCTGTATCTTCAAAAGCCTATTTGTTGTGTTTTTTATTTCATAATGGCTACTCTGTCCAAACTCTTGTTTGTATTGTGTCAGAATACAAAATTTGGGAAGGAAGAAGGAAAACCAACTCAGACCCAGAAAACATTTAGGAAATTGCCACTCAAGAAACCACAAATCGGCTGAGGCACCCAAAACAATGACAGCAAGCCAGAATTGGAGCAAGCCAACAGCTGTGCCCTGATTGAAAAAGAACCTTCCTCTTGTGCCCTGAACTCAATATGCCAGCCTCAAAACCAAAGCTCACATCAGAAAATTCATTACAAACCATGATAAATAAGAAAAATGAGAAAAAAAGTCAAAGAAATGCAAGAATCCAGAATGATATTGGCCTTGATACTGTCGCAAGGAAACCGGCTGTTCCCAGATTCATCCACCCCTCCAGCTGACAGCCTGTGGAATTCTGACTGAATTAACCTGAACGAAGGCAGTTAATATCTGTCACCACAGCCTAAGTGTTCCATTTTATTTTTTCAAAACACAAAATCTCACCTTGGTCGTGTTACCTGTAGCTTAAAACACCTATTTGATGTGTTTTTTATTTCATAATGGCTACTCTGTCCAAACTCTTGTTTGTATTGCGTCAGAATACAAAATTTGGGAAGGAAGAAGGCCAAACCAACTCAGACCCAGAAAACGTTTAGGAAATTCCCATTCAAAAATCCAAATTCAGCTGAGGCACCCAAAACAATGACAGCAAGCCAGAATTGGAGCAGGCCAACAGCTGTACCCTGTTTGGAAAAGACCATTCCCCCGGTGGCCTGAACTCCATATTGCAGCCTCAAAACCAAAGCTCACATCAGAAAATTCATTACAAATCATGATAAATAACAAAAATGGGAAAAAAGGCAAAGAAATGCAAGAATCCAGAATGATATTGGGCTTAATTCAGTTGCAAGGAAACTGGCTGTTCCCGGATTCATCCACCCCTCCATCTGACTGCCTGTGGAATTCTGACTGAATTAACCTGAAAATCGCATTGAAACTCTGTTTGGAGGCAATTAATATCTGTCACCTCAGCCAAAGTGTTCCATTTTATTTTCCAAAACACAAAAGCTCACCTTGGTCGTGTTACCTGTAGATTTCTAAGCTACAAATGCCTATTTGTTGTGTTTTTCATTACAAAATGGCTACTCTGTCCAAACTCTTGTTTCTACTGCGGCAGAATACAACATTTGGGAAGGAAAAAGGCAAAACCAACACAGACCCAGAAAACTTTCAGGAAAATGCCACACAAGAAACCAAATTTGGAGGGAATTAGAATCTGTCCCCTCAGCAAAAGGGTTCCATGTCATTTTCCAAAACACAGAAACACATCTTGTTCATATTGCCTACATTTCTCATTCTGAAAGGGCAATTTGATGTGTTTTTTTTTTCTTTCATAATGGCTACTCTGTCCAAAATCTTGCTTGTATTGCATCAGAATACAAAATTTGGGAATAAGAAGGCAAAACCGACTCAGACCCAGAAAACATTTAGGAAATTGGCACTCAAGAAACCACAAATCTCCTGAGGCACCCAAACAATGACAGCAAGCCAGAATTGGAGCAGGCCAACAGCTGTGACCTGATTGAAAAAGAACCTTCCACCTGTGCCCTGAACTCAATATGCCAGCCTCAAAACCAAAGCTCACACCAGAAAATTCATTACAAACCATGATAAATAAGAAAGATGAGAAAAAAGCCAAAGAAATGCAAGAATCCATAATGATATTGGGCTTGATTTAGTCGCAAGGAAATCGGCTGTTCCCAGATTCATCCACAGCTCCAGCTGACTGCCTGTGGAATTCCGACTGAATTTATCAGAAAATCGCAGTGAAACTCAGTTTGGAGGCAATTAATATCTGTCACCTCAGCCAAAGTGTTCCATTTTATTTTCCAAAACAAAAAAAATCATATTGGCGTGTTACCAGCAGATTTATAATCTGTAAATGTCTATTTGTTGCATTGTGTCAGAATACAAAATTTGGGAAGGAATAAGGCAAAACTAACTCAGACCCAGAAAAAATTTAGAAAATTGCCGCTCAAGAAACCAAAAGTCAGCTGAAACCCCAAAACCAATGACAGCAACCCAGAATTGGAGCAAGCTAACAGCTGTGCCCTGTTTTAAAAAGACCATTCTTCCGGTGCCCTGAACTCCATATTGCCGTCTCAAAACCAAAGCTCACATCAGAATATTCATTACAAACCTTGATAATAAGGGAAATGTGAAAAAGTCAAATAAATGCAAGAGTCCTTTGTGATATTTGGCTGGATTTAGACACAAGGAAACTGGCTGTTTCCAGATTCATCAACCCCTTCCACAGACTGACTTTGGAATTCTGATGGAATTCACCTCAAAATCGCACTCACACTCAATTGGAAGGTAATTAGAATTTGTCCCCTCAGCAGAAGTGTTCCAAGTCATTATCCAAAACACAGAAACTCATCTTGGTCTTGTTCCCTGTAGCTTTTGAATCCTGAAAGGGCAATTTGCCGTATTTTCTTTTTTTTCATAATGGCTACTCTGTCCAAAATCTTGCTTGTATTGCATCAGAATACAAAATTTGGGAATAACAAGGCAAAACCAACTCAGACCCAGAAAGCATTTAGTAAATTACCACTCAAGTAACCACAAATCGGCTGAAGCACCCAAAACAATGACAGCAAGCCAGAATTGGAGCAAGCCAACAGCTGTGCCCTGATTGAAAAAGAACCATCCTCTTGTGCCCTGAACTCAATATGCCAACCTCAAAAACAAAGCGCACATCAGAAAATTCATTACAAACCATCATACATAACAAAAATGAGAAAAAAGCCAAAGAAATGCAAGAATCCATAATGATATTGGGATTGATTTAGTCGTAAGGAATCCGGCTATTCCTGGATTCGTCCACCCCTCGAGGTGACTGCCTGTGCAATTCTCACTGAATTAACCTGAAAATCACAGGGAAACTCAGTTTGGAGGCAATTAATATATGTCACCTGAGCCAAAGTGTTCCATTTAATTTTCCAAAACACAAAAACTCACCTTGGTCGTGTTACCTGTAGATTTCTAAGCTTCAAACGCCTATTTGTTGTGTTTTTTATTTCATAATGGCTACTCTGTCCAAACTCTTGTTTGTATTGAGTCAGAATAAAAAATTTGGGAATAAGAAGAAAAAACCGTGTCAGACCCAGAAAACATTTAGGAAATTGCCACTCAAGAAACCTCAAATTTGCTGAGGCACCCAAAACAATGACAGCAAGCCACAATTAGAGCAAGCCAACAGCTGTGCCCTGATTGAAAAAGAACATTTCTCTTGTGCCCGGAAGTTCTTATTGCAGCCTCAAATCCAAAGCTCACATCAAAAATTCATTACCAACCATGATAAATAGGAAAAAAGAGAAAAAAGCCAAAGAAATGCAAGAATCCATAATGATATTGGGCTTGATTTAGTCGTAAGAAATCCGGCTAGTCCTGGATTCATCCACACCTCCAGGTGACTGCCTGTGCAATTCTCACTGAATTAACCTGAAAATCACAGTGAAACTCAGTTTGGAGGCAATTAATATCTGTCACCTCAGCCAAAGTGTTCCATTTTATTTTCCAAAACACAAAGACTCACCTTGGTTGTGTTACCTGTAGATTTCTAAGCTTCAAACGCCTATGTGTTGTGTTTTTTATTTCATAATGGCTACTCTGTCCAAACTCTAGTTTATATTGCGTCAGAATACAAAATTTGGGAAGGAAGAAGGCAAAACCAACTCCGACCAAGAAAACATTTAGGAAATTGCCGCTCAAGAAACCAAATGTCAGCTGAGGCACCCAAAACAAGGACAGCAAGCCAGAATTGGAGCAAGCCAACAGCTGTGCCCTGATTGAAAAAGAACCTTCCTCTTGTGCCCTGAACTCAATATGCCAGCCTCAAAACCAAAGCTCACATCAGAAAATTCATTACAAACCATGATAAATCAGAAAAATGAGAAAAAGGCCAAAGAAATGCAGGAGTTCTTAGTGATATTGGGCTTCATTTATTCCCATGTAAACTGCTGTTTCCAGATTCTTCCAAACCTCCCAGCTGAGTGAATGTGTATTCTGACTGAATTAACCTGGAAATCGCAGTGAAACTCACTTTGGAGGGAATTAGAAAT